TTTCTAGGCTATCTAATAATGGCCTAAATCCATTTTTGCGCCAAGATGTGTAATTTTGTAATACCCAATGTTAATAAAATATTTAACAATTGTTTTCCATCTGTTCGGGACAAGTTTTGCATACTTCGGTCAAAAGCTGAATGTGCTTTATAAAACGCATACATATATATTTATATTTATATGCTCCCACTTAGTTGGTAAATAGCTAACCTGGTCTACATCGGTTGATACCTGCTGGGGATCTTCTGAGCGTAGAGAGGCTTTTTTGACATCTCTTTCCCCCAAAGCGTGTGCTATGCAGGCAGAGGCGCTGGCTAAACAGGCATGTCCAACAGCCAGGAGGCGATTGCGTGTCTCTCTTGCCGTTTCTTGTGCTAAAGGCAACTCGAGTGCATTGGCAGTGCCGGTGGCAACATTAGTTTCTATGGCACCAATCACTGATGATGGTTCGAGGTTGAAACTACAAGCAGTAGCTGAAGAGTTGAGTGAACCCACTCGACTGGCCCGGGTGCTGGGCAATTCACCAGAAAAACATAAAAGACGGATAGTACCTGAAGAATGAGTTGGGAGAAAAAACGAAAGTTTAAAAAATGGCGGGCTAAAGTCGAAAAACGGAAAAAGATAGACATTTTGCTATACGAAGTTAAGCTGGCTTTCAAAAAATCCCTTAGTAGACTGATAATGGCATACTATTCATTTCAGTTGAGAAGAGAGGTGAAAGGGATTCGTAAATTGGCCTTACCGGATACCTAAATAGAGTTTCCTTGGACTTGTAACTATTTAATTATGCAAAGAAGACCTCGGCTCCCCATACTGCGACCTTGATGACTCTATGTTGAGCTGTAACAGACATTGTCAAAGCCCTAAAACATTATTCATAAACAATCAGCAAAGAAAATCAAGTCGAGAAAGGTGGCCAGCTATGATTCTACACACTTCTGATTATTTTTTGAATTAATTTACTGAAAGATATAGGTAAACAATATTCCAGGCATAGCTGTTAACTTAAGTGAATTCTGAAAAAAGCTGTTCTATGATAGCATTATTTATGTCTGTGAATAAAGACTTTCAACATAAAAAATAGAATATACTCTGATTATAATGCAATGAAATGCATATATGCTTTAACATTGAACTCAGATTCACTCAATGAATTCGTCTGACTACATCCTCTACTCAATCGCCTCGGTTCTTTAAAACGATTGGATTCGGAACTTAGGACATACAATTTGGCAAAATCAGTGTAAGATAATGATAGCATACAAGTGTGGGAAAATAAACGAGAATTGTCTATTGTAATCTGAATCACGTGAACTGGATGCCAAAAACAAAAAGCAACCCAATCAAGCGCAAACAATAAGCCAACACTTAAGCTTATTAGATGTTAAGAATCTTAAATAAAGTC